CCCCGCCGACGGCGCCCCCGGCCCCCGCCGGCGCCGCCCCGGCCCCCGGCGCAACAGCAGCCCCCGCGGCCACCAAACCGGATGACGAGCTGGCGGTGAGTTCCGGCCGCATCCTAATCAGCTGTTCTGTTTTTGCTCCTTGTCCGTGTTAATTACCCACCCCTGTCGGCACCTCCTCCTCCCGCTTCGGCGCGGAAGGGGGTGAGGCCGGACGGCGCGGCGGTCGGGTGAAGTTCAAGGGCGGCGCTGCGGTTGCAGGTGCAGTGGGTGTCCTCACCCAAGGACACCTCCTTCCCCGAGACCATCCCCGAGGAGAGCTCCAGCACGGAGGAGGAGCACGTCGTCATCTTCCGGCTGCCATCACTGCCTGACTCTGCCGACGGGACGAAAGAGAACGCGTCAATTTTCCATGTATACTTCGTTGATTGTCTCGTGGAAGTATTATTGGTCGTGCTACCGACTCTAAGATTATCTTCGTCTGGTCCCAAACAGGCAGACGCGAGTATCTTCAGGGTGACGCGGACGGGGGCCAAGCCGTCGGCGCCGCTGCTGGACCAGATCCACATCGTGAAGGAGACGCGCGGCCACCGGGACCGCGTCAAGCACGCCCAGCGCCTGGGGTAACGCGAATGCGAGAGCGATCAGTTCCTAATCCTACGACAAATAATTGTGGAGCCGCCTACTGATAACTCTGTATTCGCGTAGGTCGCTGGAGAGGGACAAGTCGGACAGCAAGGAGGAGCCTCACTCTGGTCACAAGCCGACCAAACCATCGGTGTCGCCCTCGGCGCCCAAGCTCACGACCGCCCCGAGTACGTCTCCGGCAGCAACATTTTTATTTTCCTTAGAGGCCCGCTCGGCGCTCGTGCTGGAGGAGAGGGACTGATTGCCTCTTGGTGCGCTTGCAGGTGTGAGTCAGCAGTCGACGTCCACGTCGGCGGGGGAGCCGCCGCGCCTGGACCTGTCGGCGGCGACGTTCCTGGACGTGGCCGTGCTGCGCTGCCTCTTCATCCCTCAGTGGCAGGAGGAGGGCGTGTTCTGGGCGCTCCAGTTCTTGTACCACCGGTACGGCAGCAGCTCGAGCACCTCGTCAAACACTCCATGCCCATTCCGTCCCGTCATGCACCAACGTCCCGTTCTCTGTCGACAGGCTGCGCGACGTGGCCGAGGAGCGCGCCCACCAGCAGCAGCCGCGGCGGCGCTCCAACTCGCTGCCCATCCCCAAGATAGAGGTCTCGCTGTACCAGAGCCCCGAGCAGAAGAAGCGCGGCACGGACTCGGCGGGGGACTCGGAGTCCAAGGAGGTCGTCCCCGTCCCGGACGAGAAGGACAAGTCGCACCTGGCGGAGTCATCGTCGTCCGGTAAGAGGCGGTGTCGCTCGGCGCGGTGAAGCATCATGCCGTCCCGACCTTCCAAGATATCATGTCTTGGTCCTTGTTTTTCGCAGATTTGCCGTCCTTCTTTTTTCGGCGAAAGTCGAGCGGCGGGGAGGAGTCAGGCCTGAGCCACTTCCGACGCGCCAGCGAGAAGGTGAAGAAGAAGATGAAGATGTCGGACCTGCGCGCCTTTGTCGAGACCAAACTGCTGTCCAAGTCAGAGAAGACTCTGGAGAAGATCGGTCGCGAAGACGCCAAGGCGATAGACGAACAGGTCAGTCTACTTGTGCTGGTTTAGTTTGGCTTTCGGCTGCTGGTGACTGTGTCGGCTGACGGTTACCCCCGAATGTCCTGCAGCGCGCGATCGCGCCGAAGGAGTCCCATGGCAGCTTGGACGCGGGAGAGGAGGAGTTGTCCCGACCGGGCTCCGCGCAGGCCAGCCCAATGCAGACGCTTCCAAGCAACCTCGTCAAGGGCAAGAGCATGCCGAGTCTCAGGTAGGAACGGTGATCACCCCCGGACCATCAGGCGTGGTGTGCATGGTCTTTCGTGAGTTAATCCAACAATATTTTGTTTTGAGAAAACACGAGGCAGGTAAACATATTTTTATACACTCTTGTACATATTCAAACAAAGCGAGAAATTATGATGCACAAAATGGCTTTAACACTTGCACTGGTAGATAGGAAAAAGAATCAGCACAGACATGTGGATTTATGATTGTATTTTGTGATTCTTCGCGTTTCTTTCTGAGACTCCTTTTCTATTCTGTGTTTCTCATCCTTCTTTCTTCTTTCTCTTTCTTCCTTATTTCGGCACAGCTGTTTGCTTGATGAAATGAATGGTGGAGGGTAAGTTACCGTAGAAATTAAAAAGCGTAGTATGGCAAGTGATCAAATTTTAGTCGAAATCGCTTCTTTGTAAAAGTTATATTGAATATGTAATCCAGTAGACCTCAAAATAATTATCCAATTCTGAAGTAATGGTGCTTTTTGGTCCATAGAAAGATAAACAGGCAGAATACGGACAGGATAGTTGCAGTCTGATCCATTCGCCGTAGAGTGAACCATAATTTTGAAACTACAGGTGTAGCGTCCCGGGATATTCCCCCTTCAAGGCGAAGTAGGCAACGCAGGACATTTAATGTCCTGAAAAGCACTCAATACGCGTAGTTTTGTTTCATAAAGCATGGTAGACTTAAAATATGACGTTTGAAACTGGAATAATGTTATGTGTTCCTGTAGTGAGCATCGACGACGACCCTGTGTGTCACCTCCCCTGTAGCGACCTGTCGCTATGGTCAGCGAGTAACAATGAGTGGTCCTCGACAGGTACATGGGCGAGCTGCAAGTGGACCGGCAGTGCAAGAAAAAGCTCCCCGGGGTGCAGTCTCACTCCATCCCCAACCCTATCATCACCGTCACGGAGCACACTCCCACACCATCACCAGACTTCCTCCGAAAACAGGTAAGGCCGACGCCCTTCGGTGTGTTGGACTTTGCTACATTCTCTCTATACCTCTTTCTCTCACCCACACATCGATTCGTTATTGTGCACAGTCCTGGCAGGGGTCGGTGGACTCCCAGCTCGACCTGCTCAGCCTGCAGGGCCAGGCCCAGGAGCGCAAGCCCAGCCTCGCGCGCAGCCTGACGGACTCCAACATCACCTACCAGGGCGACGAGATGCAAGAGGCGCAGGGCGCTGCTTGTTACATCACCAAGGAGGGCGACATGGACTACCAGGTCGTGCTCAAGGCGGTGCACGCCGCCTCGATGCGCGAGGCCCACTGCTGCACGCTCAGGGTGTGCGAGGTGATCCTCAACCTCCTCGAGCTCTTGGTCGACCTGGGCGTACTCAAGCCCCCAGCGCCCACCGAGACCTCCCCCACCAAGGACACGGTGCCCGGCGCTCCTGGCACGGCCGCGCCCGCGGGGGTCCCCGGGGTGGCCGGGTGCTCCGGCACCGCGGCGGGTCCCTCGACGGGGGCCTCGGTGCCGGTCCACGACCAGGACAGCCAGAACAGCGATCCCGACTCGGGGGGCAAGGGAAGCGACGGCAAGAAGGGGCCCAACCGCTTCAACACCCCGCACTGCCTAATGCTCCACACGGTGCTAAGGTAACGCTCACGCCACCCGGCAGTCCAGCACGGCAGCAGCTGTACACACACTTGACCGCTCCATGTTGGTCCGCAGGGTCCTCCGCCACCTTGGCTGTCCGTACGGCTGCGAGGAGGGACAGCGTGGGCCGCCGGCAGACTTCCTGCGTTCGCAGGGCCAGAGCATCATGGCCAGGCTGCAGCGGGCCTCGCCGCGACACTTCGGCGCCTTCCTCCGGCAGTTGGTGCACCTGTCGCCGCTGCAGGACGTCATGGACCTCTTCCACGCCTACGTCGGCTTCTGCGTTGACCCCAGTACGCTCCTGTCCCCGCTCAGTACGTGGAGAGCCAGCCCCGCACCCCCGCTCCGCTCCGCAAACCCACCCCTTCCCCATGCGCCCCATACTCAGCTGGATCGGAGGCGGAGGGTGACCTCCGCCGCACCGCACCGCCACTCCCCGCCTGGTTCACACTGCATACTGTGAAGTACTCCCCTGCTGTGACCTCACGCCCCCCAACTCAAGCCCACCCTCTCTGTCTTTTGCAGCCGACCAGAAGCGCAGCTGCAGCAAGTCGCCCGACGTGTCTTCGCAGGGAGGCTACGCGACCAACTTCGGCGCGGGGCTGAGCGGCGGCGGCCGCGGCGTGGAGGGCCACATCATGTCGGCCGTGTTCAAGGCCCTCGTCACCAGACTCGTCAAGTCCGCCAAGGAGCTCAAGTCCACGGAGAACATCGTGAGTCGCTTTTAGCTGGTGACGACCCAGTTTTTGATGTTTCCCGTCCTGTGCATGGTTCTTGACGACACACGACCGTCCCCGTCCGCAGGCGCTGTTCTGCGACGTCCGCCGCCTCATGACCTACGTGAAGGAGGCCCACGGCGGCGTGTTCCGCCGCGTCGCCCTGAGCGGCCTGCTGGACTGCGCGAGCCGCCCCAACAGGCGGGAGCCCGCGTCGCAGACCACCCGCGTCATCAAGTAGGCATTGTGGATGACACACTCCACTCCCTCGGAGGACTGGTGGTGGGGATGGGAAAGTGATTTGAGTCGAACCTGTCCGCAGGCACATCAACCAGTCCGACCTGGAGCAGCCGAACCAGGGTCTTGAGGCCTGCTACGTCATCGAGGGCTCGAAAAAAGTGCTGCTCAAGAAGAGGAGCACCTCGTCGACGTGCGCCGTGAGTTTCCCGCTGCTCCGCGTGTAATTCCGCGCCAGCAAACGCCATAATCAAGAGTAAATACATTTGTATTCTGGTTACTTTGCAGTTTTTCGGGTCGCAGAGCCTGCTGGAGACGGACGTGTCCGAAGAGGGCCAGACCAAAGCCAGCCAGAGCCCGCTGGGCCCGCTGCGGCGCAAACCGCACACGCTCACGCCCCGCCACAGCGAGCGCAACATCGGCGGCATCGCGGAGGGCCTCAGCGCCATGGGGGGCTTCGGCATGGCCCCGGGGGGCACCTTCGCCCGCGACAAGGAGAAGGAGAGGTTCAAGATCGGGGGCTTAGGTAAGTCCAATAAGCTTTCCGTTTTATCTTTGCAGAGTCTTGTTGAAGACTGTCCCGAAATATCAAACTATTGTGCACCGTGTTGCATCTTGCAGTGAGCTGGTTCCGGCGGGACTACGGCCGCACCGACTCCATGGACAGCGTGGAGGTTACGGGCAGCGAGAGCGAAGGGCTGGCCTCGCTGGTGCGCCAGGCCTCGCTGCACCGCTCGCTCAGCCGCGGCATCAACCCGCCGCAGGCGCCGCCGCCGCGCGCCACCAACGTGCTCGTCAAGACGAGGAAGCGGCTCGAGGACCAGTTCATCAAGCTGGGTCTGGGCAAGGGCAAGAAGAAGGACGGCAGCATGGAGGACACGCAGGGCTCGTACATGAGCCGGCGCAGCTCCATCGACCAGGGCGACCACAGCCGCGAGTCCGAGTTCGTCGTGTTCAAGGAGCGCAAGCTGGTGGCCATCGAGCCGGTGCGCATGGGCATGGCGCGGCTGTCCTTCCTGCTCGAGACGTGCCAGCCGGGCTCCGTCCCGGACAGCCACCTGCTGGCCGCCGTGCTGGACCTGCCGCACGCGCCCGTCGTGGCGCGCGCCTCCATGCTGCTCGAGTGCTGCTACTTCGTGCACTGCTGCAACAAGGGCCAGTGGCCCGCCTGGATGAAGCATAACCTGTCCATGTTCAGGCCGTCGGGCCCGCTGCCCCGCGACCCCAAGGTGGGCGGGCTCGGCGGCGGGCTGGCGGGCGGGCTGCCCACCGGGCTGCGGCGCACCCACCTGCTGCAGCGCGCCGCCGGCAAGATGTTCAGCCAGTGGGCCGAGGCCATCGCCGTGCGCCTCGAGGAGCTGCTGCAGTCGGACAAGAAGAACTACCCGGCCGTGGTGGGCATCGTGCTGGAGGAGACCAAGCACAAGGATATACTCAAGCAAGACGAGGAAGAGGATTTCCTCGATGAGGGTGAGCAGAGTTACATATGGACCTGGTGGGGGGGGGGGAACTTGGAGATCTGGAATAAAAGCATTTTTCTTTCTGTCGCACCTGCAGCCAGCGTCAACCTGTACGGCCTGGAGAGCCCGATGGCGCTGCGACTCGTGGCGTGCATGCTCCTGCTCGAGATCACCGCCTTCATGCGCGAGACGTTCCAGACGCTGCCCAAGGCGTCGCGGGCCTCGCAGCGCGGCGACCGCCCGCCGCCCTGGGAGCGCGTCTACACGGGCCTGGGCGGCCAGAACAACGCGAACCGGCGCTGGAGCATGGCGCTGTCGTCCATGGGCCACAGCCAGGCGTCGGCGCAGAGCCTGCAGTCCATCGCGGGCGACCAGGGAGCCGGTGAGTCGCGCAGCGAAATGTCACTATACTTTACTTATCGAGTGAGAAGATACGCTGCAGCTGTAAAACTGACGGCTGCGCGTTGACGTCGACAGGCCAGCCGGAGAGGAAGATCAGCTTCGTGCTCCACGAGCCCGACAACGGCTCCGAGGGCAGCAGCAAGTCCACGGTGACCATGCAGGGCGAGGAGGGCGTCGAGGAGAAGAAGCGGCGCCTCGGGAGCCACGCGGCGCAGGGCAACCAAGGCCCCCAGGGCGCGAGCAGCGCGGCGGCGGCGGCCCCGGCCACGGGCGGCGCCTCGTCGGGCTCCAGCCGGCCGCACCTGCTGCGGAGGGGCACGACGGCCAACGCCACCTCGGGCTCCTTCAAGCGGCGCAGCCTCAAGCTCCGGCGCCACACCAAGGAGGCCAAGGAGATCCTGGAGTACGACTGTGAGTAGCGCGCTGGGTACTTGTACGCCGTCCGCGGTCTCGAGCCGACACTTAACTGTTTGTGTCCTGCTTCGCAGTGAGCAGCACGGTGAAGCGAACCGACTCCATCCAGTCCCGGCGCAAGGTGAGCTCGCTGTCGGATCGCAGCGACACCTCCGAGCAGGGCGGCGGCGGCGAGGTGAGCGGCGAGGAGTCGCCCGGCATCCTGAGCGACGACCAGCCGCCCGAGAGCCCCAGCGACAGCAACGACACCGACGACACCCTCACGCACCTGCCCTGGCTCAAGGTGCTCGTGCAGATCTCCAACTCGTTCAACTTCTTCTGCTCGCATCAAAACTTCTGCCACCCGTTCTGCTACCGCCGCCACATGCGCGCCTGTTCGCGGCTCATCAAGTCCGTCAGGAAGGTGAGTCGAGTTAACTGATATCTGAAGTGTGCCGTTCACCACTTTCACCTGCACTTCTAACCGGTCCTGGCCCGCAGGTGTATGGCGAGGAGTTCGGCCTCATGTCCTCCCCCGAGTCGGAGGCGGACAAGCGGGGCGATGGCGACAAGAAGGAGAGCCGCGGGCGCGGCGGGAGGAAGGTCTCGGACCAGACGAGCACGCAGGCCTCGCCCATCAGGAGGAAGGAGAGCGACAACAAGCGTGACAAGTCGGTGTCTGCTGTAAGGGAGGCCGTCTATGGCGTCGGCGCGGCCCTCAGTTTCCAACACGCCACTTTTCTGCCATGTTTCAGGATCCGCGACGCCGACTCGCAGGCGGGTCGTTCGACAACGCGTGACTCGTCGCGCGACCTCGCCGACATCGAGCTCGACGGCGCGGGCTGCGTCAACGGCAAGGCCAACGGCGGCGAGGAGAAGACCAAGGAAGTGCCGCCCATCCTCAAGTACCTCAAGAACCAGGTGCGGGACGTGTTCCACGCGCCGCTCGCCACGCTCGTTAAGGGCGCAGCCGTCATGACGGAGGACCAGTTCATCGAGATCCTGCCCGTGTCCTGGGAGCTGCTGCTCGAGCACAACCAGGAGGTGGCCGCCACGGCCTCGTCTCTGTTCATCCTGGCGGCCGTCAAGGCGCCGAGCCACGCATCCGAGATCATGCGTCACGGCCTGCACCACCAGGACCCCGCCGTGCGCATCAAGTCCATTCTCAGGTGAGCAGCGCGCTGGCATGAAAAATCGAACCCTTGTATTCTTCTCCAGCCTGACACTTGACGTTCCCGTCTCCAGGTTCCAGGTGCTCTGGAAACTTCGCTACCAGGTTTGGCCGCGTATGGAGGAGGGCGCGCAGGTCACGTTTAAGGTTCCTCCGCCGGGGATAGAGTTCACGTTGCCATCCCCCAAGATCGGCATTGAGTCCCTCCCCGTCGTGGACCCGCCGTGGGCGCCGCAGGTCACGTCCAAGGTGGAGGAGGTCACCATCAGCCAAGAGAGCCACGTGAGTACCCTCCCACTGATGCTTTGCTTATACTCGGTTTTACAAGCACACGTCTTTCCAGCCCTCTCACTAGATCTAAGGAGATTAGACATGGCAATAGGCTCTCCACGTTGCACCCCAGAACAACACAGCCCTCTCTTGTGTCGACGCACAGTTCTCATCTACAGAGAGTAATGTTCTTTTCGAATAACTTATGAAGGGCGTCTTCCTACGCACGCTTTTCGTAGGAGGCAGTTGGTTTTCCTAGCACCGGGTCTACCGTTTGTAACTCATGTTGAAGTGTGTGTGCACGTGTGTGTACACCTAACTCCAGTTTACAGGGCGGCCGCAGCAGTCCCAGCCGGGTTGTGGTTGTTGTTTTTCCATCCCCGCAGCTCAGGACCAGGTGCAGTTGTACATATCGTCAGCCACGGTTCCGAGCGCGCGCGCGCGCGCCCCCGCCCCGTCCCGCCCGTCCCTGCGCTCTCTGCCCCTCGGCAGGAGCGCGGCACGGGTGCGGGCGGGACTAGACACAAGCGACAAAGACTGACTCCGACCTTATGACTTGGGCGGTGGGCCGCGCGGTGCAGCAGGGCCAGCCCGTTATCCGTCCAGTCCGCCGCCGGCTGGGCGAGCGCTGCCTCGGCGTCCAGAGCCGGACCTCGGACAGCGGGCAGGGCCACGGCCACGGGGGCCACGGCCACAGCCAGGGCCAGGGTCACGGCCAGGGCCACGGCCAGGGCGCGTCCGCGCGCAGCCACGCCCTGGCGCTGGGCGCCCACACTCACGGCGGCGGCCACGCGGGCCACGCCGTTCACCCCCACGGCATGGGGCTGCCGACCCGGCTCCGGGGCTACTCCGGAGCCCGGGAGGTAAGGAGCCTGTCCGGCCCCCTTTCTGTACTGCTTTCCCTCTCGTTGTTCGGTGTTTATAAATGTGCTCTCGTTCTTTTTAACAATGCGTGTGTTCACTCCACATAACTCTTTGCTACTTACTATTATCATCATCATTTTGTTTGTTTTCCCGTTTCGCGACCTCTTTTACCTCTCTCTATCTACCTCCTCCCGTAGCCTCCACCGCGGACGGTGGCTGCTTTAAGCAGGGAGAGAACTCCGCAGTGAGGACTGCATCAATGACAGAGTGGTGCAGAGATTATGTTAATGACACCAGATAGGCATGGCATAGGTGTCGATGATCGTTCCTCACTGCAGCATCTACCGCCCTGATAATGTGAATTATTGCCCCTGAAGCCCCGCCGTTCAAAGTCAATTTCAACATATGCGACCTCGCATGTGTCTAAAGCGAAAAGCTAAATAGTTAAATACTAAATTATCAAACATTCGGTGAGCTAAACTAACCGGCTAAAATTCTGTCTTCGCGTTCGACCCTTTTGCCCCCCGACCGTCCGCGCTGCTGGCTACGGCGCTGAGTGGTGCTGGGCTCCGCCAGGCTCTGCCAGGCCCCCGACCATGCACCCCACGCCGCGGGTAGCTAGCGTCTTCACCTGGGGGCGGACCAGGCTTCTAGCGGTTTGCTTGGCGGCTCCGCCCCCTACATGACCTGCGGCTTGACGGCGCCCGCCCACCGGCATGGTGCAGTGCCGGCGGCGCGGGACGCTGGCGCTGGTCCGTCGCTTGCATGCTTTGTTTTAGCTATAAGTGTCACCACCCATCTTGTCGAGCTCCCGAAAAAATGATCCACGACTCATTGCCGAGCGCGCTTGTTCTTTATTTGTATCTGATGTTTGCATCGCTGGTGTGGAGAGAGCAAGAGAATGAGAGCGTGTGCATCGGGGCAGAGCACTAGTGCGGCCCGCCCGGCCCCGGCCCCCACCGTAGACCTGCCCTGATATGTAATCATGTTGTATTCAGTCACTTACTTAAGTATCCTCTACCTGTACCGGCGTGTTTTATTTTACTTTTTGTATTTTGTTTTCTGTGATTCTTCTTGATGCTGTCATGCAGTTACGAAGGCTGGATAGGATGGAATGTTATGTGTTTCGGTGTTTCTTACTCTTAGTCTCTAGGTCTCTCGAGACACTGTGTTTTCTGTGTTCCCTTTATAGTGGAAACGCACGCACGCTGTGCTGCCTTTGCGTTTATCTCATCTCGTCACACACGTACACACCACTTCGCAAACTGTCCTATGATACCTTGTGCCCTGGCATACACACCTACCTGTCTATCTAATGCCCTTCCCTCCCGTACCCCTTCCTTACCTTCCTCTCCTTTTTCTGAGTGCTGCGCGAGGGTGGGGTGGGTGCACAGGTCAAGCTTGTGAGCACGGGACCACCACAGTAAGCCGGCGCGGCTACGGCCCCCGATGTGTGGGTCCTGAGTTCGCTACTCGGCCGAGTGCCGCGCACCTGGCCGTCAGCATGCCCGCCACCACTTCATTCTACACATCACGCCAGTAGTTGATCTTGTTGTCTGATTTGCCGATTATACTATGATTTGACTCAGCGTATAGTTCGGTTGAACCATCCCGCCCTTAATTCGGGTCGAGGCCTTCCCGTCTCGAGGGTTTGTCTAGTGCGACTTAAGAAACCGCTGCGGTACTAAAAGCACGCGGGAACGCCGGTGAGTTGCTGTAATGTAATCCTATGGATGAATAAGGATACTTGTGTTACGTAAATTAATTTACAAGACAAGACCCTTTCCTCGACCCTCATTTTTGGGGTACGGCTTTGGACACCGTTAGTTCTCCGTAGTCCTCTCTGACGGCCCGCATGCCGGCGGCCCGCGCGGGGCCGCGGGGTGGTGACCACCAGGGGTGGCCGACCCCGCGGCCCCGGGCTCGCGCCAGCTCGCGCCCGCAGCGCGGAGCGTCGCCAAGCAGAGGCACGCCACTGACCCCGGTCCGCCGGCACTGCCCCGCAGCGCGTGCTCGTGTCCGGGACCAAGACGCGCAAGAAGCAGCAGACGGAGCTCGTCAAGCTGGCGCTGCAGGCGCAGGAGAACAAGCGCCGCGAGGAGCGCGAGAACTTCCTCATCACCACCATCCCGGTGACGGTGCAGGCCGCGTACGAGCCGAGCCTCTACCACGCCGTCGAGGACCACGAGGACGCGGGTGAGCAACACGCCGTCACGTCATTGTGCGTCAAGCTGCGTCGCCGCCTCAGATAAACTGACAGTACTGACACACTGACCTTTGCAGACGACGAGCCGGATCAGCTTCAGGCGAGGAACACCAGCCACCTGATCCACTCCGCGCACTCGCTCTTCCCGTCGTGCCTCTGCTCCGCCGTCGTGCAGATCATCAGCCTGCTCGACGACGCGGCCGTGTCTCCGGACGGCAACGCCGTGTACGAGATCGCCTACCAGGTACCGATTGTGTGAGGGGCAACTGGGGTTGGTAAATTCGAGTCTTTCCGAATACCTTAACTTTCTTGCTCTGTCTGCAGACCATCTGGAACTGCCTCGTGGAAGACAGCGCGCTGTTCCTGCGGTACGTGCTGGAGCGGCTCACCCGCGACCGCCAGGACGAGATGTTCAAGCTGCTCCGCCACCTGATCCGCTTCATCCCCAAGCTGCCGCAGCAGGCGGCCTTCGCCCTCTACAACTACATCATCGGCTACGTCATGTTCTACGTGCGCTCGCCGCAGGAGGACGGGCAGCGGCTCATCGGCACGGCGCTCTCCATCCTGTGGATGGTGGTGCACAGCGTGCACGGCATCATGTTCAAGGACCTCAAGCAGATCCTGCGCAAGGAGCAGTGCGATGCGTCGATCCTGCTCACCGCCAACGTGCCCTCCGCCAAGAAGATCGTTGTCCACGGACCACAGGGTGAGCTACACCGCCCCCCCTTCCCCCTTTTCCCTATCGGTCGCTCTTTGCTCGGTAGCTCTAATGATACGCTCGTTGCAGATCCGGATGCGCCAGGCATCCCATCCCAGTTTCCTGTTCAGGAGGACACCCAGTTCTGCCAAATTCTAAGGGAATCTCTGGACTTCTTCGGAATCGAGGAGAGCAAGCAAAAGGAGTTCTTCCTAGTTGACCACAAGACCCGTAAGTACAATACCAGTTGCAATGTGAATAAGAATCCGACCAGCGTCGACACTTTATCCCCTTATACCCCTCTTTTCTCTCCTCTCCGACTCCAGATCAGATCCACAACCCGTCCTCGTACGTGAGGGACTTCTACTTCTTCAAGCGGTCGCAGTACCCGCAGCTCGAGCTGGTGCACATGAAGCAGGACGAGGCGTTCGCGGCGCTGCAGCAACAAGAGCTGATGCACAAGTTTGTTGAGATCGGCAAGGTTCTCCTCACGTGGGCCATCCTCAAGAACGTGGACATGGTGGTGCAGAGGGTCGTGTTCCTTCACGAGGAACTCATGAAGCTCCCCTCCTTCCCTAGGAAAGCCCTCGAGGCGGATCTCGACCTGTTCAAGGGTGGCGAGATCGGGAAGGTAAAGGAAAAAAGCAAGGACAGGTCGAGGAGGGTCCCGTGGCCAAAAGTTCAGTTTGTTTAATATTTATTTCTTTGCAGGAATTACTTGGGCTCGACGTTCTCCACAAGTTTATGTGGGTACGTTTAATCGCCCGCATGTTCGAGGCCATGGCAGGCAACTTTGCCTACTCTGGCGACATTCACCTGCTGCTCAATGTGCTCAACGGGGCAGTCATTCTACACTCGGAGGACGCGTGCATCCTGCGATACGTCATGGCGACCTACATCAACGCTGCCTACAACTTCCGCAACATCTTTTGCTCCAACGGCTACCTCATGGTTATCCCCACGCTGCTGCAGCTCTACTCGAGCCACCAGACCAACACCCTGGTCACGCGCACCGTCGAGTACACCGTCAAGCAGTTCTACCTCATGAACCGCAAGCCTTTCATTCTGCAGATGTTTGGCAGCGTGTCCGCCATTCTGGACACGGACGAGTGCGGCCAGTACGGCGACGCCCACAAGGTAAACTTACTTTTATGTCGCCACTGGCGCCAGCCTCGAGGTTACAGATTATAGTTTCTAACCCGTCGTTCTTGCAGGTGCGTGCAAGCGACCTGTTCAACTTGCTTCTCAGCTTGGAGACTCCCTCTCCCGACCCGCTCAACATCGCCGAGTTGGTGCACGAGGAGAAGCCCCTCAAGCCCATCGACTTCTGCTATCACGACGAGGACGAGATGGTCAACGTCCTGGACTGCATCGCGCTGTGCGTCATGGTGGTCGCCTACGCGGCGGACTCCCTGCGCGGACGGCAGATGCTGGTGAGTTTGTGGCCCAAAACTACCCCGGCCACCCCAACTCCATATGTCCACACAAACTCCTTCTAACAAAACGCACCCTCTGGTTTCAGATCATCCTGAATGCCATCCTGCCCTGCTACCTGCAGCAGATCCAGCTCTCCACCTACAACAAGGACGGGAAGACCGAGAAGGAAATCATAAACCAGGTGGCCGTGGCCATCAAGACCATGGTGAACAACTGCGAGGCGCTCGCCAAGTAAGGCACTGACTACTGTGTTCTTTTACAGTGGGTCGGTAATTGTGAACAGAGTCTCACTGCTGGGCTGGGTCCTGTTGCAGGCACTACACCGGGCCGCAGAAGTCCAGCCCGGAACACAAGGGCTCTAGCCAGCGGAACTACAGCCGCGGCCCTTACTCCCCGGCCGGCGAGTACGAGGACGACTCGCACTCCAAGTACATCAGCGACCACAACAAGAGCAAGATGAACTTCGACAGGGACATGGAGGACTCGGAGCTGATGCGCAACGAGTACCGGCGGCCGCGCGACATCCTGCTCTACATGGTGGCCGAGTTCCTCACCAAGTGCACGGCGCGGCTGGCGGAGCTCAACAAGAAGCCCGGCGGCGACGGCAAGGCCGTCGAGCTCTTGGACGTCCGCGCGCACATTGTAAGCCACCACCCCCCTTTTTAACCCTGAATAATCCATATTGGCCAGTGCTTTACAAAACTGTTATTGCGCCTTCCAGCGGCTGGCTGAGGTGGCGCACAGCCTGCTCAAGGTGTCGCCCTACGACCCGGACACGATGAGCTGCAAGGGCCTGCAGCGCTACATGACGGAGGTGCTGCCCTGCGCCGACTGGTCCAACGAGGCCATGCGACCCGCGCTCATCCTGCTCGTGCGCCGGCTCGACAAGACCTTCAACAAGATCCACAAGAAGGCGTCCATCAGGGTGAGCACAGCCGAGGGGTCAAAGTCCAGAAGTACACAGATTTTTCTGTGTTTGCTTGATTTTTACTAACTTTTTTCCAAATTTTCCCTTGATTATTCGTAAAAAAAAATAATCTCGATTTAGTCACTGACTATTTCTAAAAGTTAAGTTAGTTTGGTAGGCGGCGGAAAACGGCACCAAACTGTTTTAAAATTGACACTCTCACGACCGGGATCGCTTGCTGTTGCAGCGCCTCACGGACTGGGAGGCGGCAGCGGGTCTGCTGAAGGGCGTCTACGAGGCCATGTTTCGGTACAAGTTCATCGTCCATATGGCCAATCTCAAGACGCTCATCAACACCTGCCAGGTGCGAGTCCATACATGTTGCACGCGGGACTTTTTGCTGCCAGCTAAGAGGGAACTGAAATAAAAATGTGGTGCATTTCCCAACAGTCTCTCATTATCGGCGAGCCGCAGCCCGTGGGTATGCTGGAGACGTTCTCACAGTCCACCTCGGCGCTGCTCAACAAGGTTCCGCCCCCGCAGTTCTGCTCCATGGTGGTGCGCCTCATCGCCCTGCAGATCGTCGTCATTGGGGTGAGCACCGTTAACGGGTGGAGCTGACGTTCAGCAACACAGCTCACTGTTATTCAAGGAATGTGACGTCACATTCGTTTTAATGTGAA